ATATATATATATATATATATATATATATATATATATATATAAGAAAATTCGAAATAAGATTTTATGTGGGGGCTTGGAGATGCAATTTAACGCTCATTGACGCCACAGATTCATGCTTGGTAACAGTAAGGCCGAAGCCGACATAAATAGCCGCAACTACTTTTATGACGACCGTTATATTCCGATGTGCTCGAGCAGATGTCGATCATAAGTAAGAGATCGGACCGTGCAGATTATTACAAGTATGCGATCCACGACAGCGGACGGCTGTGATACAGGGCTTGTACAAGCTCATTTAGGAGGTGTATTTGGAGAGAAACCCGAGCACCCTAAAGGAGGCTACCGTAAATCGGGAGGCATTCTTCTCTTCCGGCTTGTCGTCTTCAGCGCGTATCGGTGGGAATCCGTCCGGCGCTGCCTGGTTGTGACCTCGCTCCGTCCGCCATGGCCGCTAGGGTTTTCTGGTCACTAATCGCGCTCCTCCTCATCGCGTCTCCGATCCTCCAAGGTTTGCCCTTATCCGTCCCCGATCGATCCGCTCGCTCTCTCGTGATCGCGATGCGTCTTTCTTAGGCGATCGGAGGAGTACATGCCATTTGATAACCAGGAACCCCTTTCTTGATGCAGTTTCTTTCCTTTTCTTTATTCTGTTGGTTCTAGATCTGCTGAGTTCCGTAAAATTCGTTGATTTAATTATGTTTTCTTACTATGCTATTGACGAGCGTATTATCATGTTTTTTTGTCCCAATTATTGGGAAATATCATGACTTATTTTAAAGGGACACAAGAACAGGATGTTTGCTGGTAAATGGCATCCATTGCTAAGTTCGAGGGCTTGTCTCCTCGACCTATTCTGCATAACCTGAGAGTATCAACCGATTAGAATTGCATTAATTCTTGAGTTTCAGGAGGTTTGATTAGTTTTTATCCTTTTTTTTTTCCAAAGGGTTCGTTTCAAGAAATATGAAATAATACAGGGAAAAAAAAGAAGACAAGAAGAAGAAAAAAAACAATAGCAGTATTATATTTGTATTTAACAATTATGTTTTCCTCCCTCTTTGATTCTATTACTCAAAAGCTTGCTATACATTTAACAAACTTCCTAGTTGCTCTTGAAGATGCACTGCTAAATCAACATGTCTAATGCTACCGTTTCTATTGGCTCTTATGGCAGTAGTTATATGCCAGTCTGATGAGGATGTTGCTGCAACTGAAGTTGTTGAAGGAAGTGATCTGGGAATAGTTGGTGATGATACCCAAGTTTTTGGTGATGGAGCCTTTGGTCCAGCTCCTGGAGTAGATACTATATGTGTATTTCCAAAGAACGCTGCCAGATGTAAGTATAACATGTGCGAACAAATAATTGTTTTATTTAGAAATTTGTAGTTTTTGGTTCTGGATTGTAACTCCTCTGTAATCTACTATCCATGCAGTGGTACCAGCAGGAGAGGAGACTGAGCTACTGGTTGGCTTACATAATGAGGGTGCATTCCTGCTGCCTTTAAATTTATATTAAACTTATTAATCAGCACCTTGTTTGACATTTCTATCTCCTGGCCATTTTTTTGTTCACCATGTTATTGTTTTAATTATTAATGTATTAGAGTCTATTGTATTGAAATGCAGCTATGGATTTAGGACTAAAATAAAACATTGCTAACACCTATTTCATTTAAGGTGATAACATGATGTTCCCTGTCACGGATCTTCTATTTTGGCATATTTGATTTTTTTGTAACTCTTAAAATTTTCTGGACTCTAACAGTCTTTGTACTGACAAATGTAAGTTCACTGCCACTTGCCAGTATGTTTATCATATCATTGTCAACCTATTTAAGTGTGATATTCTAAATGATAAATATTGAGACTATTATTGATGAAGCAGCAGAGACAGAAACTAGATGTTCTTTCTCTGATCTTTATGTTCATCAAGCATAAACTGGCACAAGTCAGTAAGATTAATACTGTTTACAGATTAAAGATTCTGTAGAACTAGGACGTAGCGAATATTTAATTATGCAGTGCTGGCACTACGTCTTGTTTCCGTTTTTTTGGCTATCTAGACTATCTATATTAGGCAGTGTGTGAAAATAGTTTTGTGGAAGCTGATGCATTTGCTGTATCATCATGATATGATAGATTTTCCTTTTTGCATTGTAGTTCATTTTCTATAGTCGCCTTTATATTTCCTTTTATTATCTACTTCTGTTTGTTTATTGAATATATATATATATATATATTTCAAGGCTGATATATCTCGCCTGTCTATGTGCACGATATTGTAGCCATAAAACTTTTTGTTTCTTTCTGTTCTGCATTTTGCTGTCTACCTCATCTAGATAGATTATCTTGAGTCTGTTCTGTGTGATATTTGTCGTTGTTTCTTATCAAATAACTTGTCTATATGGAGGTAAGGCTGCATTGCTAGGCTCCCCAGACATTGCATTGGTGGGAGCCTCTTGGATTAAACTTCCCTCCTTATTCAATAGACTTTGTGTTATGTATGTCTAACCAGATATTATCATCTGAAAAAAAATACAGGTGAATCAGCTTTAAAAGTGGTTGCCATACATGCTAGCCTTCATCTTCCATTTGATCATCACATGTTTGTGCAGAATCTTACTCTGCAGGTTAGTATATCTATTTATTTACCTGTTGTTGGCTCACATTTGATTGCTTTATAGTGGACATCACATATGATTTGTTGCTGTGTTATCAGCACTGAGCTGCACTTGGTCATGTGGTCTATGGTGTTAAAGAACTATGCACACTTGCATATGTTGGCATCAATCTTTCTCTAGTCATATCATATGTTACCTGTAACTGACGTTCTTGCTTTTATTCATTGACATCTTGGAAAAGTACTAATCATGTGCACAGTTATATTTTATTTGTAGTAGTTTTTCTATACTTCTCTATGCTGACTGTAAGGGGGCATAAATAATCTGGAAGTTGAACACATTACATTTGAACATAAAAGGAACAAATTATTACTGACATCATATCATCATATTGTCTAGTCTTTATCCATGCTTAGCTCTCAGCTTTCGCTGGAAAAGGGCTGGCAATCTGTTTATTCCAATCTGTCCATAGACAAAGAAAAACCAAACTGAGATCAGGGTGAACTTGTAAAAAGTACTGGACAGTGGTTATGCCATCCTATGC